TTGAGAAATTAAAAAATTGGAAAATTGAGAAATCGAAAATCTAAAACAGCAAAATCGAAAAATCGTAACCTTAAAAAATCGAAAAATTGAAGAATTGAAGGTGTGAAAAATCGAAACTTTAGGAAGTCCAGAAATAGGCAAACAAAAAAAAATACTTTAGAAATCGGCAAACTGAAAATTTAGAAACGTGAAAATTTGAAAAATTGAAATTTCGAAATATTTAAAAACCGTAAAATTGAAGAGGACAAATATTGAGAAATCGTATCATTGAAACATCGAAAAATAAAAAAATCGAAAAATAGAAAATTTGAAGAATGGAAGAATCGGAGAAACCCAAAATTGAAATATTGTAAAATTGAGAGATTTAAAGTTGAAAAATCGAGAAATCGAAACATAAAAAATCAAAAAAACAAAAATTGGAAAATCTAAAATTTAAAAATCGAGAAATTGAACAGTCGGTTAATTCAAAAACCGAAACATGGAAAATTGGAAAATCGAAAAAAAAAATTGGACAATCGAAAATTTAAAAATTCCGAAACTTGAAAAATTGAAAAATAGAAGAACTGAAAACTCAAAAAATCGAAAAAAATTAATAATTTAAAAATTGAAAAGTTAAAATTGAGAAATCGAAAAACTGAGAAAGCACAAAATTGAACGGAATATCCAAAAATTAGGAAATTAAAAAATTGAAAAACAGAAAAGTCAAAAAAGCAGAGTCGAAAAATCGCAAACTTAAAAAATCTAAAAATTGAAAAATCAAAAACCTGAATAATCGAAAAATTGAAGAACTGAAGAACTGAAAAATCGAAACTTTAGGAAGTGGAGACCTGGGAATATAAAAAAATAGATTAATTGAGAAATCCGCAAACTAGAAATTCAGAAACGCCAAATTTGAAAAATAAAAAAATATTAAGAAGAACTGAAAAATCGAAAAATCTAACATTTAAAACATTGAAAAGTTAAAATATCCTAAAACTGAAAAATGGAGAAATCCAAACATCAAAAAATCAAAAAAATAAAAATTCGAAAATCTAAAATTTAAAAATCGAAAAACTGAAAAATCAACGAATCGAGAAGTCGAAAATTTAAAAAATTGGAAAATTGAAAAATCGGATAAATCAAAAATCGAAACATTGTAAAATTCAAAAATTGAGACATCGAGAAATCGAAAAATCAAAAGACAAAAAAATCGAGGAGTCGAACAATCGAGAAGTCGAAAAATCGAAAAATTGAGAAACCGAAATAGGCCAAAATCGAAAAATCGAAAACTTAAATATGGAAAAATTGATAAAGCGAGAGATTGAATAATCAAAACATCGAAACATCCGAATCTCAATAAATTGAGATCTCAAAAAATTCGGAAATTTGAAGAATTAAAATATAGAACTGGTAACTCGAGAAACCGAAAAATCTGGAAATTTAAAAATTAAAATATGGAAAAGTTGAAAAATTGAGAAATTGAAATATAAAACAATCGGAAAATTGAAAAATCTAAAGTATAAAAAACGAAAAACTGAGAATCCAAAAATAAAAAATAGAAAAATCTAGAAGTCGAAAAATCAAAGAATCGAAGTATTGAAAAATATCAAAACTGAAAGAAATATCCAAAAATTGAGAAATCTAAAAACCAATAAAGCGAGGTCGAAAAATCGAAGAATTGAAGAACTGAAAAATCGAAACTTTGAGAAGTGGGAAAATCAAAAATAGATTAATTGAGAAATCAGAAAACTGAAAATTTGACGCAAAAATTTGAAAAATTGAAAAATTTAAATACTGAAGAACTGAAAAGTCAAAAATCGAGAAATCGAAAAATCTAAAATTTAAAACATTGACTAATTAAAATATCGCAAAATTGAAGAATCGAGAAATCCAATTCAATTTGAAAAATTGAAAAATCGGGACATTGAAAAATTGGAAAAACAAGAAATTGAAAAGCTCAAAAGAAAAAAATCGAAAAACCGAGAAATCCAAAAATCTAAACATCGAAAAATTCAAAAACTGAGACTTCGAGAAATCGAAAAATCGGAGGATCGTGAAATTGAGGAGTCGGAAGCCAAAAAGGAAAGTTAAAAATTGAAAAACTGAGAAATTGAACAATCAAAACCACGAAACATCTGAATTCGATAAATTGAGAAATTAAAAAATTGAATAATCGAAAAATTAAAAAAAAAACTGGAAAATCGAAAATTAAAATTAAAAAAATCGAAAAATTGAAATATAGAAGAACTGAAAACTCGAGATATCGAAAAACCTAGAATTTTAAAAAATGCAATATTAAAACATCAAAAAGTTGAAAAATTGAGAAATCGAAGCATTAAACAGTCACAGAATTGAAAAATCTAAAGTTTACAATAAATTGAAAATCCAAAAAGTAAAAAATCGAGAAATCAAAAAAAAACCATCAATTCAAAAATCGAAAAGTCGAAAAATTGAAATATTGAAAAATCTCATAACTGAAAGAAATATTCAAAAAATTGAGAAATTAAAAAATTGGAAAATTGAGAAATCGAACATCTAAAACAGCAAAATCGAAAAATCGTAACCTTAAAAAATCGAAAAATTGAAGAATTGAAGGTGTGAAAAATCGAAACTTTAGGAAGTCCAGAAATGGGCAAATAAAAAAAAATACTTTAGAAATCGGCAAACTGAAAATTTAGAAACGTGAAAATTTGAAAAATTGAAAAATCGAAATATTGAGAAATCGAAAACTAAAAAAATCGAGAAATAGAAAATTTGAAGAATGGAAGAATCAGAGAAACCCAAAATTGAAATATTTAAAATTGAGAGATTTAAAGTTGAAAAATCGAGAAATCGACAAGCCGAAAAATCCCAATAGCGTATTTATAAATCAGGACTATGCTACTTTTTAAATTTTAAATAACATTATAAATTGGAAAATGTTGATTTTTTTTTCAAAAATCTTGATCGAAAAATTGAAAAATTGGAAAATCGAAGTCAACAAATCGAAAACTTAGGAATGCCAAAAATTGAAACATGAGTAAATTGATAAATACAAAATCGAGAAATTGAAGAATTGAAGAATCCCAAAATTGCAATATCCAAATAATGAGTAATCGAAAAATCGAGACATCTAAAAATCTAAAATAAGAGAATCGAATAATTAAAGTATGAAAAAATAAAAAAAACTGAGAAACTTGTAAATCCTAAAAATGAAAAATTCCAACACAGAAAATTGAAAAATTTAGAAATCGAAGAAACATCGAAAAATTGAAAAATCGAGAAATGGGCAAATCAAAAATTCGAAAAATCGATTTGACGAGAGTTCGAAAAATCGATAATTTAAAAAATTGAAAAATAAAAAATCTGGGAAATTGAAAAACTGAAAAATCGAAAAATTGAAGAATTGAAAAACTGAAAAATTGAAGAATGGAAAAACCGAAACATCGAAAATTGGAAAATCGAAAAAAAAATTGGACAATCGAAAATTTAAAAATTCCGGAAATTGAAAAATTGAAAAATAGAAGAACTGAAAACTCAAAAAATCGAAAAAAATTAATAATTTGAAAATTGAAAAGTTAAAATTGAGAAATCGAAAAACTGAAAAAGCACAAAATTGAACGAAATATCCAAAAATTAGGAAATTAAAAAATTGAGAAACAGAAAAGTCAAAAAAGCAGAGTCGAAAAATCGCAAACTTAAAAAATCTAGAAATTGAAAAATCAAAAACCTGAATAATTGAAAAATTGAAGAACTGAAGAACTGAAAAATCGAAACTTTAGGAAGTGGAGACCTGGGAATATAAAAAAATAGATTAATTGAGAAATCCGAAAACTAGAAATTCAGAAACGCCAAATTTGAAAAATAAAAAAATATTAAGAAGAACTGAATAATCGAAAAATCTAACATTTAAAACATTGAAAAGTTAAAATATCCTAAAACTGAAAAATCAACGAATCGAGAAGTCGAAAATTTAAAAAATTGGAAAATTGAAAAATCGGATAAATCAAAAATCGAAAAATCGAGAAACCGAGAAGCAAAAAATCGAAAAACCAACAAATCGAAAAATCGAAACATTGTAAAATTCAAAAGTTGAGACATCGAGAAATGGAAAAATCAAAAGACAAAAAAATCGAGGAGTCGAACAATCGAGAAGTCGAAAAATCGAAAAATTGAGAAACCGAAATAGGCCAAAATCGAAAACTTAAATATGGAAAAATTGATAAAGCGAGAGATTGAATAATCAAAACATCGAAACATCCGAATCTCAATAAATTGAGATCTCAAAAAATTAAAAAATTCGGAAATTTGAAGAATTAAAATATAGAACTGGTAACTCGAGAAACCGAAAAATCAAAGAATCGAAGTATTGAAAAATATCAAAACTGAAAGAAATATCCAAAAATTGAGAAATCTAAAAACCAATAAAGCGAAGTCGAAAAATCGAAGAATTGAAGAACTGAAAAATCGAAAGTTTGAGAAATGGGAAAATCAAAAATAGATTAATATATATTTTCATTTTGTGTTAATATTTTTGTAACACCACGAATCTAAATTTTACTTAAAATCTTGTTTTACTTTAATCTTGTAAAACTAAACAATTATACCAGATTAAAAACCCTTGGTAAGTTTCTGTCAGTCTTCACATATAGTCAAATAGAGATAGGCGTCAAATTCATTTAAATACAATTCTTTCGTATCACGTTACAATACGTTGCTTCATATTTTTTATGTCAAGTATATTTTCATATTTTGTACATATATGTTTATACACATTACTGTTTACGGAACAATGTTAATTATGGATTTATGGATAACTCCACGTATAAGAGCAGAGTGAAGGGTGTTTGCCTTTGCTAATGTTTGATGGCGCCATCTGATGTAGAGTAAAATAAATCTAATACGTTGGCTCACTGTAGTGAAAATTTGTATTAGGTTGTCCAACTATAATATACTTAAACAATTGTTTAAGCATGCTATGTATGGGGTTTGTGGAAATGGCGCAGTCGGTAGGATTGATTTTTAAAAAATTCGTTTAATAGGGATTGCGAGACGGAAACCACAAGGCGAGCAACTCGACCACGCCAATCCCGTCCGTAACGACGAAACCCGGCTGTGGCAATGTCCCTTCTGCCTCAAGAACGACTTCCCGGAGTTATCCGACGTCTGGAACCACTTCGACGCCGGCGCCTGTCCCGGTCAAGCCACCGGCGTCAAACTCCGCCTAGACAACGGGATTTCAGGTAACTCACGCACCCCGAAAGTCACCATCACCCCGACTCTCGACTCCGTCCCCCAGGTTACATCTACATCCGCAACATCAGCGACAAGAACGTCTCCAACCCCGAGGAGCGCGTCGGCATCGGCCAACTCATCCACTGCCGCATCATGAAGATCGACGTCGAGCGCTTCTCCGTGGACTGCACGTCTAAGTCGAGCGACCTCCTGGACAAGAACCACGAGTGGCGTCCCCCGAGGGATCCGTACTACGACCAGGAGCATGAGGACAAGGATACAAGGGCCGAGGCAGAAATGAAGAAGAACAAGCAGCGGCAGACGTACATCAAGCGGGTTATCGTGCATCCGGCGTTTCATAATATTTCGTACGTGGAGGCGGAGAAGTGCATGGCGAATATGGATCAGGGGGAGGTGATCATCAGGCCGTCGAGTAAGGGGGTGGATCATCTGACGATCACGTGGAAGGTGGCGGATAATATTTATCAGCATATAGACGTGAAGGAGGAGGGGAAGGCGAACGCGTTCTCGTTGGGGAAGACGTTGTGGATCGGCGGGGAGGAGTTCGAGGATTTGGATGAGATTATCGCGCGGCATGTGACGCCGATGGCGGCGCATGCGAGGGATTTGTTGTATTTTAAGTATTATAGGGATACGAGCGGGGGGCTGAAGGATAAGGCGGAGGAGGTGGTCAAGGAGGAGAAAAAGAAGAATCCGTCGAAGATACACTATATTGTCAGTGCGTCTAAGGTAAGTTTTTTAACGGTATTTTTACTTCTGGAGCGTAAACTACTGACTGATTGAGAGATGTACATGGTTAAACACTAACCAAAATTTAGCTAATCCATCTGCAAAATTTACAATTGTGGATTTTTTTATAAATTCCCAGCAACATTTCAAAATTGCACATAGTAAATCGGTTTAATTTGATAAAATAACGTATTCCTACACTTGTAGTTTATGAATCCGTGTTGTTTTTTTACACTTTTTGACGGCTTTTATTGTAGACTTTATTGTGTCGTTTTTGTCGTCTTTTTTAATTTGTCGTTTTTATGACTTTGTGTTTTTTTTTTGTCGTCTTTTAACGTCTTTTTTTGTCGCGTTTTTCTTAGTTCCATTTTTTGGGGCTTATTTATAAATGGCATCCCTTTTTTGTGGACTTTTTTTGTATTTTTTTGTCGTCTTTTTTGTTACTTTTTAGTTGCTTCTTTTGTCGCTTTTTTTTTAAATTCGCTTTTTTTGTCGTTTTTTGACATGTTTTTTGTATTCAAAATCAAAAACCTGAAACGGGAAAATCAAAAATTCGAAAAATCGATTTAATGAGAAATCGAAAAATCGAAAATTTAAAAAATTGAAAAATAAAAAACCTGAGAAATCGAAAAACTAAAAAATCGAAAAATTGAAAAATTGAAAACTGAAAAATCGAGAAATGGGAAAATCAAAAATTCGGGGAATCGAAAAATAGAAACATTTAAACATCGAAATTTTCAAAAATTGAGAAATTGAAACATCGAAAATTTTAAAAATCGAGAATTGAAGAATTGAAAAATTCCAAAATTGAAATATCGAGAAAATGAAAAATCGAAAAATTGAAGAATCAAGAAACTGGAAATTTGAGTCATTAATAAATTGAAAAGTTGAAAAATTCCAACACTTAAACATTGAAAAATTGAAAAATTAAAAACCTGAAAAATGGGAAAATAAAAAATTGGAAAAATCGAAAAATTGAAGAATTGAAAAACTGAAAAATCGAGAAATGAGAAAATCAAAAATTCGGGGAATCGAAAAATAGAAACATTTAAATATCGAAAATTTTAAAAATCGAGAATTGAAGAATTGAAAAATTGAAGAATCAAGAAACTGGAAAATTCCAACCATGAAAAATTGAAAAATCATATTTCAAAAAATCGAAAAAATGAGTAATTAATAAATCTAAAAGTTGAAAAATCGAAAAATTCAAGAATTGAAAAATCGAGAAATCGCAAAATGGGAAAATCAAAAATTCGAAAAATCGAAAATTTAAAAAATTGAAAAATCGAAAAACTGAAAAATCAAAAATTCGGAGAAACGAAAAATAGAAACATTTAAACATCGAAAATTTGAAAAATGGAAAAATTGAAACATCGAAAATTTGAGAAATCGAAAAATAAAAAATCCAGAAATCGAAAATTTTAAAAATCGAAAAATTGAAGAATCAAGAAACTGGAAAATTCCAAATATAAAAATTGAGAAATCATACTTCAAAAAATCGAAAAATTGAGAAATTAATAAATCGAAAAGTTGAAAAATTGAAAAATCAAAAACCTGAAAAATTCAAGAATTGAAAAATCGGGAAATCGCAAAATGGGAAAATCAAAAATTCGAAAAATCGAAAATTTAAAAAATTGAAAAATCGAAAAACTGAAAAATCAAAAATTCGGAGAATCGAAAAATAGAAACATTTAAACATCGAAAATTTGAAAAATGAAAAAATTGAAACATCGAAATTTGAGAAATCGAAAAATAAAAAATCCAGAAATCGAAAATTTTAAAAATCGAAAATTGAAGAATTGAAAAATCCCAAAACTGAAATATCGAGAAAATAAAAATCGAAAAATTGAAGAATCAAGAAACTGGAAAATTCCAAATATAAAAATTGAGATATCATACTTCAAAAAATCGAAAAATTGAGAAATTAATAAATCGAAAAGTTGAAAAATTGAAAAATCAAAAACCTGAAAAATTCAAGAATTGAAAAATCGAGAAATCGCAAAATGGGAAAATCAAAAATTCGAAAAATCGAAAATTTAAAAAATTGAAAAATCGAAAAACTGAAAAATCAGAAATTCGGAGAATCGAAAAGTAGAAACATTTAAACATCGAAAATTTGAAAAATGGAAAAATTGAAACATCGAAAATTTGAGAAATCGAAAATTTGAGAAATCGAAAAATAAAAAATCCAGAAATCGAAAATTTTAAAAATCGAGGATTGAAGAATTGAAAAATCCCAAAACTGAAATATCGAGAAAATAAAAATCGAAAAATTGGAAAATCAAGAAACTGGAAAATTCCAAACATGAAAAATTGAAAAATCATACTTCAAAAAATCGAAAAATTGAGAAATTAATAAATCGAAAAGTTGAAAAATCCCAACACTTCAACAATAAAAAATTGAGAAATCCAAAAACTGAAAAATCGAGACATCGAAGAATTGAAAAATCGAGACATTGAAGAATTGAAAAATCTAAAAATTGAGAAATGAGAAAATCAAAAATTCGGGGAATCGAAAAATAGAAACATTTAAACATTGAAAATTTGAAAAATGGAAAAATTGAAACATCTAAAATTTGAGAAATCGAAAAATAAAAAATCGAGAAATCGAAAATTTTAAAAATCGAGGATTGAAGAATTGAAAAATCCCAAAACTGAAATATCGAGAAAATGAAAAATCTAAAAATTGAAGAATCAAGAAACTGGAAAATTCCAAACATGAAACATTGACAAATCATACTTCAAAAAATCGAAAAGTTGAAAAATTCCAACACTTTAATATTGAAAAATTGAAAAATCAAAAACCGCAGAAATCCAAAAACCGAAAAATAGAAAAATTCAAGAATTGAAAATTCGAGAAATGGGAAAAACAAAAATTCGAAAAATCGAAAATTTAAAAAAATAAAAATCGAGAAATGAGAAAATCAAAAATTTCAGAAATCGAGACATAAAAAATGGAGAAATCACGAATTAAAGAATTGAAAAATCCCAAAACTGAAATATCGGGAAAATGAAAAATCGAAAAATTGAAGGATCAAGAAACTCGGAAATTCCAAACATGAAAAATTGAGAAATCATACTTCAAAAAATTGAAATCAAAAACCTGAGAAATCCAAAAACTGAAAAATCGAAAAATTCAAGAATTGAAAAATCGAGTAATCGAAAAATGGGAAAATCGAAAATTTGAAATATCGAAAATTTAAAAAATTAAAATTAAAATATCGAAAAACTGAAAAATCGAAAAATTTTAGAATTGAAAAACTGAAAAATCGAGAAATGAGAAAATCAAAAATTCGGGGAATCGAAATATAGAAACATTTAAACATCGAAAATTTGAAAAATGGAAATATTGAAACATCGAAAATTTTAAAAATCGAGAATTGAAGAATTGAAAAATCCCAAAACTGAAATATCGAGAAAATGAAAAATCGAAAAATTGAAGAATCAAGAAACTGGAAAATTCCAAACATGAAAAATTTAGAAATCAAATTTCCAAAAATCCAAAAATTGTGTAATTAATAAATCGAAACGTTGAAAAATTCCAACACTTCAATATTGAAAAATTGAAATATCAAAAACCTGAGAAATCCAAAAACCGAAAAATTCAAGAATTGAAAAATCGAGAAATGAGAAAATCAAAAATTCGAAAAATCGAAAATTTAATAAATTGAAAAATCAAAAACCTGAAAAATCGAAAAATTGAAGAATTGAAAAACTGAAAAATCGAGAAATGAGAAAATCAAAAATTCAGGGAATCGAAAAATAAGAAACATTTAAACATCGAAAATTTGAAAAATGGAAAAATTGAAATATCGAAAATTTTTAAAATCGAGAATTGAAGAATTGAAAAATCCCAAAACTGAAATATCGAGAAAATGAAAAATCGAAAAATTGAAGAATCAAGAAACTGGAAAATTCCAAACAAAAAATTGAGCAATCATACTTCAAAAAATCGAAAAATTAAAAAATTGAAAAATCAAAAACCCGAGAAATCCAAAAACTGAAAAATCGAAAAATTCAAGAATTGAAAAATCGAGAAATCGAAAAATGGGAAAATCAAAAATTCGAAAAATCGAAAATTTAAAAAATTGAAAAATCAAAAACCTGGAAAATCGAAAAGCAAAAAAATCGAAAAATTGAAGAATTGAAAAACTGATAAATCGAGAAATGAGAAAATCAAAAATTCAGGGATTCGAAACATTTAAACATCGAAAATTTGAAAAATGGAAAAATTGAAAAATCGAAAATTTTAAAAAACAAGAATCGAAGAATCCCAAAACTGAAATATCGAAAAATTGAAAAATCAAGAAACTGGAAAATTCCAAACTTGAAAAATTGAGAAATCATACTTCAAAAAATCAAAAAATTGCGAAAAAAATAAATTGAAAAGTTTAAAAATTTTAACACTTAACATTGAATAATTGAAAAATCTAAAACTTAAGAAATCCAAAAACTGGAAAATCGAAAAATTGAAGAATTGAAGAACTGAAAAATCGAGAAAACTTAACCAAGAAATCGAAAAGTCGAAAAATCGAAATTTAAAAAATTAAAAAATCAAAGCCTGAAAAATCGGAAAAATTGAAGAATTGAAAAACTCAAAAATCGAGAAATGACAAAATCAAAATTTTGAAAAATCGAAAACTCTTAATCTTTTTGTCGTTTTTTATCACGTTTTTTAATCCTCGTTTTTTTTTTTATTAACATACTTTTTATTTTTTTCGTTTTTTAATGACTTTCTGTAGGTTTTTGTTGCCGTTTTTTTAACGTCTTTTTTGTAGCATCTTTTTTAGTCCTGTTTTCATCGACTTTTTTGTTAACTTTTCTTTTATCGCCATTTTTTTTTAATTCGTTTTTTTTTACTTTTTTTTTTTGTTTTTTTGCGTTTTTTTTTTGTAATCCTTTTTTTTTCATGCTTATTGTTACGTTTTTGTTGGGTGTTTTTTATGAACTTTTATCGCCATTTTTGTGAGTTTTTTCGTCTTGCGTCTTGTCTTTTTTGCGTTTTCTCCTTTTGTTTGGTTTCTTTTTCATGTCCCATCTTTTTACACCCTAAGATTTTTTTAAGTCGTTTTTTTTTTGTTGTACTTTTTGTGGATTTTTTTTTACACCCTTTTTGTGGACTTTTTTGACATTTTGTCACGTTTTTTCAATCCTTTTTTGTGGTCTCTCTTTTGGTGCTTTTTTATTGTTCTCGTTTTTTACAACTTTTCTGTTTCTTTTTTTTTGGATTTTTTTTTTCGTGTTTTTCGTCGCTTCTTTCTTAGTCCCATTTTTTTGAAGACGCTTTTTTTACTCTTTTTTTTTGTCGTCTACTTTTGTGTCGTGTTTTTATCGTCTTTTTTTAGCACTTTTTTTGCGTTTTTTTTTTTTGTGAACCTTTGTTGTCCATTTTTGTGGATTTTTTTGTCATTTTATTTTTCATCTTTTTTTATCGCATTTTGTTTTTATTTTTTATCTGTTTTTTTTGTCGCACTTTTTTTCCAATGTTTATTATAGCATTTTTGTGGTCTTTTTATGCCGCCCTTTCTTTGTATCACCTTTTTTTTTATTGGTTTTTGAGGAATTTTTGAACCCCTTTTATGTAGTCTTTTTGTTTTTAGTCGTTTTTTTTTTTGTTTGTTTTTTATGGACTTTTTTAACGCGTTGTATTTTTTCATGTTTTTATTTTCTTTATTGTTTTCTTTCTTTTTTGTCTCGTTTTTTAAATTTTTTAGCACTTTTTTCTCTTTTTTTTGTGGCGTGTTTTGTGGCGCCTTTTTTTTTGTCACATTTTTTTAGACTTTGTTTCGCAATTTTTATGAAATTTTTGCGCCTTTTCTTTATTTGTTTTTAATCGTTTTTATCACTATTTATCGTCGTTTCTTGTGCATCTTTTTTTGCTGGATTTTTTTTATTGTATATCGTTTGTTTTTATCATAATTTTTACCTTTCTATTGTCTTTTTGTAACCTTTTTTGTTGATTTTTTATCGCTTTGTTTTTAACGATTTTTTTTTTTAACTTGTTCTCGTCTTTTTTTTCGTTTTTTGTTTTTTAGGTCTTTTTTTATGTGCATATTTTTCAATAATTTATATTGCTTTTTTTGTCTCCTCTATTTTTTTATCGAGGGGCGAGGAAGGCACTGTCTATATAACTTTAAACCAATTTTTATTTTACTCCATATACAATGTCTCAGAAAAAATTGGCGAATAAAACGATGTATTTTCTGCATTAAATCAAAAACAACTTTCCTCGTCACAAAATTAAATTTTGTAAATAGAAGTGAGCAAAGTTCCGTCTAACCAATTTTAGACCAGCTTTATAAAAAATCTGGTACCAACAATAACAATTCGTTCCAGAGCTGCCCCGGCAAATTCCTCCTCTCCTACCTCCCCCGCAACAAATGCCGCCACGAATTCATCTCAGTCACCCCAGAGGGCTTCCGCTTCCGGAAGCAACTCTTCGACTCGGTGGCGTCCCTATTCAAATGGTTCAAGGAGCACTTCCGGGACCCCATCCCCGGAGGCATGACCCCCGGCACCCCGCGAACCGGCAGCGGCCGAACCCCGTACCAAACGGGCGCCGGAACCCCCAGCTTCAACGGTAATAACCCCCCCCATCGGCCCCAAACCACCCCTAATTACTCGTTTCCAGCCATGAACTCAGAAGCCATCCAACGGGTGGCCCAAAACTTGCCGACCCACATGATGCAGACCCTGTCAGCTGTGGCCAACCAAACGCCTCACTACCCCCACACACCAGGCGGCGCTTACGGCGCCAGCAACTACATCAACACCCCATACACCCCCAGCGGACAGACGCCATTCATGACACCGTATCAGACCCCGCACACGCAGCAGACGCCGCGCTACGGACAGCAAACGCCGTCGCAGCACATGCCCCCGAGCACCGCCCCCCACATGAACGGGCCGTTCTTGCACCCGGGGGCGGCCACCCCCAGTCAGCGGACGCCGTCCTACAGGAATCCCACGCAGTCGCCCATGATCCAGAACAGTCCCCATCCGAGTCCGCACGCTAGGTCGTACGCCGGGAGCGACCATGGCAGAGGTTTCGGTGACTGTAAGTAGAGGGCGTTTGTGGTTGGTTAAGTCACAGGTTTGGGTTTGTAGCTTCTCGGGGGTTCCCCACGGAGTCGCCACGGGGTTACAGCAGCAATCGGGGCTACGACGGGCCCCGAGGCAACTACAATTCGACGGAGTCGACCGACTGGCAAAAAGCGGCTGAAGCGTGGGCTAATCGATCAAAGTCAGGTAGGCTGCGTTTACCGAACAGGTGGAGTAACGGAATAACTTAAAACTTGTTTCGCAGGCACGCCGAGGAGCGAAGGCGCTAGAAACACACCCAGGTCTGGAGGGCAAAGGACGCCTAGATTCGACGATATTCGGAACGATCTCGAGAGGACTAGGATGAAAAACGTCGGGAAAAGTCCGCGGTCGTTACGTTCGACTCCCAGGACCAACACTTCTCCTCATTCCATGTCGCTCGGGGACGCCACACCGCTGTACGACGAAAGCGTGTGAGCTCTGAGGTGTCTTTTTGTACAGTTGGATTTGAGATAGCTGATAAGTTAGCAGTTATGAAGATTATATTTAATCATGTGTTTTTATACTTATTTGATTTATTTACAGTTTGTGCTGTAGCGACAATCATTTATTATGATTTGTTTTATATTTATTTCGTCCTTTATAAGAAATAAATGGTTGCAAGTGGCGTTGAATTTTCCTAGATTTGTTGCAAAGTAAACCTTATTCGTCGCCTGAGAACTTGTTTGATTTACAGACCAGAGCGCAGTCAGGCCAATGTCGACTCTAAGCGTTCAGAAATCATCTGATCTGTAATCTGTAATTTCTACGGGAAATAATTGCTTAGTCGGACTTTACAACGAATAACTGAACATTTTGGTAGGTACAACAATACTGTTGGAATCGTTATCATGCAGTAGATTTTTTTCGGAAAAGTAGTTATTTTTATCTTTTGCAAACGTTAGGAAGAACGACTTTCATGAATTTTTAATAATTTTTTATTTAAATTTTTAGCAATAACCTAAGAAGCTTGAAAGGCTTTCAATAATATTCGTTCATTTGTTATTTTTTTTTTTTTTAATAATATTCAATTTCGATTTCTCAATTTTTTAATTTCTCAGTTTTGGGATTTTTCAGTTTTTCTTTTATTTTTCAATTTTTCAAAATTTCAGTTTTGAGATTTTTCAGTCTACTTGGTATTCAATTTTTCGATTTTTCAGTTTTCCGGTGTTTCAATTTTACGTTTTTCCAATTTTTCTCCAATTTTACTTATACATATTATAAACTCTCAGTTGTTCGATTTTCCAGTTCAATTCTACAAATTTTCAATTTTTTGGGTTTTTGATTTTTCAATTTTTAAAGGTTTTGATTTTTCCACTGCACATTTTTAATTTTTTTATTTCTCAGTTTTGAGATTTTTGAATTTTTTCATTCTTCAGTTTTTCTTGAATTTTTCGATTTTGCAATTTGCCGATGTTTCATCAGTTTTATGTTTTTTCAATTTTTCTCCTCTTTAATTTTACGATTTTTAAATATTTCAATTTTTCAATTTTATAGTTTATGAATTTTCTAAATGTTTTGATTTCCCCATTTCTTGATTTTCGACCATTTCGATTTTCCAGTTCTTCAATTTTTCGATTTCTCAATTTTTTATATTCTCAGTTTTTCGATATTTCAGTTTTGGGATTATCTTTCATTATTTCGACTTTTCGGTTAGTGACTTCCGGATTTTTCGATTTGTAAATTTTAGATTTTTGAAATTTTTAATTTCTCGATTTTTCATTTCAGTTCTTCGATATTTCAATTTTTCAAGTTTTAGAATTTTTCAAACGTTCCGATTTCAGAATCTTACAATTTTTCGATTTTGTATTTTGCAATTCTAGCGTTTTTCAAATTTTGAATTTTATAATTTCTCCATTTTCAGAGTTTCGATTTCTTGTTTTCCGTTTTTTCAATTTTACGATTTTTAAATATTTTCCTTTTTCAATTTTTAACTTTTATAAACTCAATTTTTCGATTTTTCGTTTAATCGATGTTTTGATTTTCCCATTTCTTGTATTCCGATTTTTCAGTTTTTCAAATTTTCGATTTTTCGACTTCACGTTTTTGATTTTTCGACTTCTCAATTTTTAAATTGCTCAGTTTTTGGATATTTCAGTTTTGGGATTTTTCCGTTCCTTTCATTTTTCAATTTTTCGAAATTTCAATTTTGGCATTTTTCAGTTTTATTATGCAATTTTTCGATTTCTCAGTGTATCAGTTTTAAGTTTTTCCAATTTTTCTCCTCTTTAATTTTACGATTTTTAAATATTTCGATTTTTCAATTTTTCAAATTTGACTTATAAACTCCCAGTTTTTCGATTTTTCATTTCTTCAATTCTACAAATTTTCAATTTTTTGGGTTTTTGATTTTTCATTTTTCAAGGTTTTGATTTTTCGACTGCACTTTTTTAACTTTTTAATTTCTCAGTTTTTATATGAGATTTTTGGGTTTTTCTATTCTTCATTTTTTTTTTTAATTTTATGAATTTGCAATTTCTCAATTTTCCGATGTTTCAGTTTTACGTTTTTTCAATTTTTAAAATTTTAGATTTTTCATTTCAGTTCATCGATAGTTCAATTTTTTAAGTTTTCGAATTTTCCAAATGTTTAGATTTCTTAATCTACCCGTTTTTCGACTTCCCGGTTTTAGATTTTCTGTTTTTCAATTTTTCGTTTGTTCAATTTTTAGATTTTATAATTTGTCAGTTTACGTTTTTTTAAGTTTTCTCCTCTTCAATTTTACGATTCTTAAATATTTCGATTTTTCAATTTTCCAATTTTTGACGTTTCTAAATTCTCTATTTGTTGATTTTTTAATTAATCGATGTTTTGATTTTCTCATTTCGTGACTTTCGACTGTTTTTCTGTTTTCCAGTTCAATTCTTCAATTTTTCGATTTTCAGGTTTTTGAAATTCGATTTCTCAATTGTTTAGAATCTCAGTTTTGGGATTTTTCAGCTTTTCCATTCTTCAGTTTTTTTTTTCATTTTTCAGTTTTTCGATATTTTAGTTTTGGGATTTTTCGATTTTTGACTTTCAGATTTTTCGATGTGTCGATTTTTTTTTACTGTTTCAATTTTTAAATTTTAGATTTTTGAATTTTTTATTTTAATTTTTCAATTTTACAAATTTTAGATTTTTATTTCTCGATTTTTCATTTCAGTTCTTCGATATTTCAATTTTCCAAGTTTCCGAATTTTCCAAATGTTTCGATTTCTTATACCTTCCATTTTTCGGCTTCCCGCTTTTCGATTTTCTGTTTTTCAATTTTTCGTTTTCTCAATTTTTGACTTTTATGAACTCTTAATTTTTCGATTTTTCGTTAATCAATATTTTGATTTTCCCATTTCTTGACTTTCGACTATTTGCATTTTTCAGTTTTTCAAATTTTCGATTTTTCAATTTTTCTATTTTCAAGGTTTCGATTTTTCGAATTCACGTTTTTGATTTTTCAACCTCTCAATTTTTCAGTTTTTTAATCTCGGTTTTTTGATACTTCAGTTTTGGGATTTTTTCATTTTTTTTTTTTCATTTTTCAATTTTTCGAAATTTCAGTTTATTATTCAATTTTACGTTTTTCCATTTTTTCTCCTTTTTAATTTCACGATTTTTAAATATTTCGATTTATCAATTTTTTAATTTTGACTTTTATAAACTATCAGTTTTTCGATTTTTCAGTTCCTCAATTCTACAAATTTTCAATTTTATAGGTATTTGATTTTTCAATTTTTTAAGGTTTTGATTTTTCGACTCCAGTTTTTTAGTTTTTTGATTTCTCAATTATTCAGTTTTCCAATTGTTCAGTTTTTCGATATTTCAGTTTTGAGATTTTTGAGTTTTTCCATTCAGTTTTTCTTCAATTTTTCGATTTTGTAATTTCTCAATTTTTAGATTTCCCAATTTTCCGATATTTTAGTTTTACGTTTTTCCTATTTTTCTCCTGTTTAATTTTACGGTTTATTAAATATTTCAATTTTTCATTTCAATTCTACAAAATTTCAATTTTTAAGTTTTTGATTTTTCAATTTTTTAGGTTTTTGATTTTTCACTTTTTAAGGTTTTGATTTTTCGACTCCTTTTTTTTAACTTTTTGATTTCTCAATTATTCAGTTTTCCAATTTTTCAGTTTTTTAATATTTCAGTTTTGAGATTTTTGAGCTTTTCCATTCAGTTTTTCTTCAATTTTTCGATTTTGTAATTTCTCAATTTTTCGATTTCTCGATTTTCCGATGTTTTAGTTTTATGTTTTTCCAATTTTTCTCCTCTTTAATTTTACGGTTTATTAAATATTTTAATTTTTCATTTCTTCAATTCTACAAAATTTCAATTTTTTGGGTTTTCGATTTTTCAATTTTTTAGGTTTTTGATTTTTCAATTTCTGAGGTTTTGATTTTTCGACTGCACTTTTTTAACTTTTTGATTTCTCAATTTGCCAATTTTATAATTTCTCAGTTTTTGGATATTTCAGTTTTAAGATTTTTGGATTTTCCCATTCTTCAGTCGAGTCTCTATAATTTAATTTTTCAATTTTTCGAAATTTCAGTTTTGGGATTTTTCTGATTATTTATTATTCAATTTTACGGTTTCTCAATTTTCTGATATTTTAGTTCACGTTTTTTTAATTTTTCTCCTCTTCAATTTTACGATTTTTAAATATTTCGATTTTTCAATTTTCCAATTTTGACTTTTCTAAATTCTCAATTTTTCGATTTTTCAACTAATAGATGTTTTGGTTTTCCCATTTCTTGACTTTCGACTGTTTTTCTATTTTCTAGTTCTTCAATTTTTCGATTTTTCAAATTTCTGATTTTTCGATTTTTCAGGTTTCTGATTTTTTGATTTCTCAATTTTTTAGTTTCTCGGTTTTTGGATATTTCAGTTTTGGGATTTTTCAGCTTTTCCACTCTTCAGTTTTTTTTTTCATTTTTCAGATTTTCGATATTTTAGTTTTTGGATTTTTCAGTATTTCGACTTTTCGATTTTTGAATTTTTTATCTTAATTTTTCAATTTTTAAAATTTTAGAGTTTTGATTTCTAGATTTTTCATTTCAATTTTCCAAGTTTTCGAATTTTCCGAATGTTTTGATTTCTTAATCCAATTCGAGAGCTCGTAAAGTGTGGACGCGTTGCAAGTTACTCGATTAAAAATGAAATGCAAAAAGTGTAAAGCCAGTTTAATAAGTGGTGTAAAATGCAATGTTTGTTTGTCTTATTATCACACAAGTTGTGGAAAGTTGCTCAGTAAAGGGAAGTTCAATTCTGAAGATGTTATATTGTGCTGTAATCGACCCTGTTCTCCGTTTACCGAAGACACTACTCCTGAGCCAAATGATATCATCGATTTATCAAACATCACTGAACCAGTTGATGCGACCATGTTTAAGTATGTCATGCAGCAGAAAGATGTGATCATTGAAGAACTACGGTCTAAAATCGATCTCCTACAAGAAAAAATTTGCCTTCTAGAACAACTGGAAAAAGAACGGCAAAAACTCTCCCAGTCCTCTATCACACCAGTCGCTGCTAAGCAAGATAAGCAAAAGGTAAACAAGGAAAATGGTGGAAGTTCTGTCAAAGTTTCTGTCAAAGGTTTAAGAAGTCCTGCGATGACATCAAAAAGTCCTGAGATGTCATCTAAAAGTCCTGCAATGTC